AGACAAGAAAAGCTCTGATTTAATGTTTTATTTCTCACTTTGATACGTAGTAATACATGTATGTGATGCTGGCTGTGTATGTGTGATGTTCTCACTGAATCAAAACTATTTGTACAATGATTGAGTCCAAATTTTAAAATGTAGTAACCTTTTTTTTTCGACCCGCCTTGCTTCTTTTTCCTCCCTCCCGCATTCGATTTGGAGTCTGTGAAGGATGTCATCCATAAAATTTACCTGCTGTGGCCTTAATAAAGCCGGTTCTGTACCAGTTCAAAAACTGTGGAGTAGTCCTCGGCAAGTTCTAATCTATCGATTATAAGAAACATTCACACAACTCCGTAATTGTTTGGACTGTACCTGAGTGCAGAGACTCGACCATGGAGTAAATTCCCACGCGAAAAAAAATTGCCGTTTTATTAGCTAATATTGACTGGCTAATAACGAGCTCGAGGTCACAATCGTGTAAACACGATAAGATCAGTGTTTTTTTTTCTGACACTGGAGTGAAAACTTGTCTGCGCAAAGAACTCTTGAACTCTTGAACCTCGAATACCATTACGTGATTGTTTTGGATGTATCTAAGGCCCTACAGTGTTTGATCAATACTAAGGCTTAAGGAGGAAGTACATTCCAGCAAGATTACGACATTGGTGTTTTTCTTATTTGACTGCTCAGCACAATCCACTGTTTGTCACAATCTCGCCATTGATTAGACTGCACCTGGACTGAGTTTATTGTGCTCGGTCGTAGGCCTCGACGAGGAAGTAAATTCCAACACAATGAGAACATTGACGTTTTGCCAAAAGTTGCTTCATGCATAAAGTCATACCTGAGAAAAACATCGCAACAAATCAATTACGTGCTGTAATGCTGGCTAGTAAAGCCATCCTACGTGTAAACGAGAGAGTGTTTAGAAAAGTTTGGTCACTCTCCTTTGGAATAAAGGAGCTGCGTAGAATCATACCATGCACAAAGGTCGTCGATCAATATTCATATAACTCCAAATAATTTGTATTATTATAATTTTTAATGTACTCTTATTTAACTTTCACGTTATTATTGTTATATACATTTAGTAGGAGTTTGGCGGATGTTGATTAACAACTAAAATCTTCATCTCAAAGAACGACGACTTTAATGTTGCTGTGTTTATGCGACGGTGTCGATTGGTATTTATTACACTATGTCCAGCATCGCTGGCATTCTTACTAGCTCACCGCAAAAGTATGACAGTTTTCAACATGTTCAAACTACACCAGATATATATATATATATATAAGCAACCAGACAGAGTCAACTTCTGACAAGCCACGACGTTTTCACCAGTAGCAGACAACGCGGGTCTGTTGTTAAGCGATTAAAGCCGGCTGAGAGTTTTACTGGTCTTTAGACCAAACAAAACACCAGTTGAACAATGTTTATAGACCGCTAACCAAGCATTTACCGATCGACTCGACGAGAAAGTAAACTACCACGCAATAAGAACATGGTGTTTTTCTGATTTAGAATGGTCAGCAAGTTCTTATCTACTAAAAAACATTGACACAATTGCGCAATTGTTTGGACTGTACCTGGTTCTATCGACTCGACAAGGAAGTATGTTCCTAATGAGACCATAATACACTCATAACACCAAGACACCATTGCCCAAGCAACTGTTAAGTAGCAACACGGTCACATTCCACGTACGAATGGAAACGGGGCAATTTTGCAAGTAAAGATGTTAGTAGAGCTACGGTCACAACCCGCCGTACGTGCTTTTTGTCCGTACGTTTTTTGGGAGGCTACGTCTGCTACGTTTTTTCTGAAAACGTAGGGAAAAAGTGGCGTCGACACACGTCACTCATTGCGCAAGGTGTAAGAGTGTGGTCTGCACGTTACGTCTGGCCGTGAACGGTTGCGTGCATCGTACGTTGCGCAAGTGGTGAGTTGTACGTGCTTACAACGTACGATCTCTGTCCGATTGCAACTTTATCGTAAGGAGGTCGTACTCACACGTGCTTCTTCCGTACGGCACGTACCGTGCACGCGCGTCGCTCGTACTCGCTCGCACGGGTGGTGAATCCGCATACCACACGTAGAAAAAGTTTTACATGCACTTAAAGTTCTACGGCGTGTCTGCGTGCTCCCAAATCCGTAGGATTCCATACGGAGGTGGTACTCACCACGCACGGATGCCCTACGTTTGCCCACGTTTTTGCACGGTAGCTTTAGTCGTACAAATGTCAGATATCTTGATATGGAAAAGGTATTATATTCTTTCCAGCGTTCGGTCTGTCATTATTCCGCTCAAAGACTTAAAAGTTGTACCTACTCTCAACAGACCACACAGACCTAGTCACGTTCTCCTTTCTCCTGGCTGCCTTACTTGACCTGGCTACCTTACCTAGTAACGCCGTCTTATAAACGAGGGAGAAAAGTTCAGTTGTGTTAAGAAAAGTCGGGTCTCATTCGAAATATAGGAGCTGCGTTTGGTCATACCACACACTAAAAAGTCGTCGATCAATATTCATTGAATTCCAATGATTTGTATTATCATAATTTGTAATGTACGTTTATCTAACTTTTAAGTTGTTATTATTATATGATATTTAGTTGGAGTTTGGTGGACATTGATTAACAACTTAAATCTTGATCTCAAACAACTGCGACTAATGTTACTGTGTTTATGCTTCGCCACACGACCCCACAATTTTGGATTGTAAGCCGGGAGCCGTTTAGCCTGTATAAGGGCTATCTATGTCCAACATATCGCTGGTACTATTTTTACTAGCTCACCATAGAATCATGACAGTTTTCAAAATGTTCAAACTACAAAAAATTAGCGACCAGGCAGAGTCAACTTCTGACTTCCACTAGTAGTAAACCACGCGGGTCTTGTAAAGATCTGTTGTTAAGCAATTATAGCCGGCTGAGTGTTTTACTGGTCTTATGCTCGAACAAAACACCAGTTGAACAATGTTTACAGACCGCTAACCAAGTATGTACTGATCTATTACAGTGATAACTTGTACAGGGGTCGCACTACTGGTATGACGCAACCGTCACACAGCCGATAGGTAGCCACTTTGACCAGTCTGCAAGTTCTAAATGACATTTTAGCAGAAACTAGAGTTCCACGATCTCACACCTTCGCCAAATGATGTTACCCTTGGGCCTTGAAAGATGTTGACGAATGATTTTCATTCATCATGAAAACAAGATCTGAAGATCTCCATTTGCATGAATTATATCAGTTGATCATATTCAAATAATGATAGTCTTGTCTGATGGAAAATAGCTAGTCTGGAATTTCTCCATAAAGTATGCAAATGAGGTCCTTTTTTGAATGCTATTTTCAGTTATGTCCCCCTTCACTTAACTTAAAAATGCCACAATGCATATTATCAACCACTTCATTTGCATAACTATCAATGTTTTTCTTCTTCACAGTTACACATGCCACATGTTTGAATAATCATATCATGGAAGGTAGCATATTTGTAGCATTTCTACAATAATTATGCTAATTAGCTGCTGATTTGCATAACTATCACGTTAATATGTCAAGCATTCTTTAAGCTACCCACATACCAAAAAATCATGATGATCTGTTAATCGGTTCTTGAGTTATCCTCCTTCGAATATTTTTCAGCGAGTGCTTCTGCAGCTCCAGAACAAGCCACTAGGGGGCTAAAACCCAGCGAAACGCCAACGAAAACATAACTTTCTTGGTGAAGGTAATAAGCCTGAGACGATTTCGTTCATGTTCAATATAATGACATATTTGAAAGTTATGTAAAGGTGAACATTACTAAAATGATTTTTTTTTAAATCAAGAACTAATTTATGATGAAATGGTAGAATAGCCTTATTTCTTAAGAGAAGACGATCATCGGGTGAAAATAATGATCAACCGACATAATTCATTTATGTGAGGCCCTCATAACTCGCATATTCACCTAGTCTCTAGCTTGCACATAACCAGGAATATGTTACCTTTCCCAAGCCAAATTACAAGGATTTTACCAGTGCGTTGCATTTTGCTAGGTAAGGGCCATGTCAATATTTTGCATAAAAGGTTAAAAATGAGCAGGCTTTTAAGCCGTTTACATGTGGTAATTACCATTAATAAAATCAACAAAAAACATGCCATGAAAACTTGAGGTTGCCGAACTCCAGTTGTATACTTGAATTGTGTCTATTGTGAAAGAAATGAATGATATCAAGATTTCTGTAAGTTTGTTAAATGAAACGTCTCATTATTTTTGAGTCTCATCATTTTATAGTGTTTTTTTAAATTTATTCTTTACTAAAATGTATACAACGAGAGTGTACATCATCATGTCAAGCAAAAAGACAAAGGATTTGGTACAGGGTTGCTTTCACACGGGGATTTTAATAGCCTCTACCAGGCTTCGGGAGGAAGCTGGAAAGAGTAGAAATCGGCAAAATAAGAAAGAAATCATGTCAGGGGAGTTGGTCTGCTGGAAGCGAACAGTGCGGCAAACTTGTCTCTCACAGCAGACCAACTTCCCTGGCATGCTATCTCTATGATTTGGCCGATTTCTACTCTTTCCAGTCGCCTCCCGAAGCCTGGAAGAGGCCAGAATTGGAAGGCTTGTTTCGGGTTGAAAAAATGTTTATTGAGGTATAGTGTCAAATCCGGCATTGCGGTCGATTTGAAAAAAAAATACCTTTTTTGCATTGTGTCTTTAATTAAGCTAGGGCAAAAGAAAATATTACAATAGACAGTTTTTGTTATTTCAATAGTTCAATACTATCTATTTTACATGGTGGCAAACCGACAGTTCCTACCTTTGCCCGCAAATATATCACACATCCCTGGAGGCCTAATATATGCCATACCGAATGCCAGGTGCTGTGACTTAGAATTGCAGAAAGACAAACATCTGTATTGTATTTCAGAAAGGCCCAACAGATATAAGTTAGAAACAAGATCAGTATAATGCGTATAGATGTTCTTGTGGAGTACATGGGCTACATAGTTATATCCTTACCTTCGCAGTCGTGAGGAAGACACCGACATTCCGGACTTCAGTGGTGGCCTCGTACCTGTACTGGTACTGTTTCCCCACCTCCAGACGGATAAGGTTCGAGGTGACGTGCAGTATGAACACCGACAGTAGAACTACGGCAGAACCCACTAGGTTCGCCATGGCTGCCTTGTGAGCGAACAACAGGTCTATATTCTGATCACCTTACGCAGAATGAGCCAACTTTGCCTCACACGCACAGTTGAGGAAATTGTGGCTGTATTATGTTAGGTTTGCATATAAAGTAGCAATTCATCGATCATTAACAAAGTACAAAATCAAAGAGGGGTAAAGGCCGATTGGTAACGACCAATGGCCCGCGTTCCGAGTAAAGTTTTTTATACAAACCCACGTGGTATTGGATCAATCAGGAGCCGTTCACCTGACTGACAATTTTAGCTCAATGATGTCATTGATAGCTGCCCCTGTTCCCTGACAATTACTTCCTTAATCTGATAAGAGTTAGAATAACACCGCGCAGCTAACGAGTCACGGCTCACAGCAGACTTCAGAGGCACAGACGCACCAGACCTATCAAGAGGTGCAGCTACTCTCAAGTCGGCGTGCAGCGATGGAAAAACGGGTGAGATTTGTTACAATCATTAAGCTTTGCAGCCTATCATTCTCTTAAAAGATTTCAGAATGTATATGAAAACAACAGACTTGTTAATAAATGTTGACGTTTTAAAGACCAAGTGCTCGCCCCCCCCAAAAAACTGTTACCTTATTCTCACCTCACCTCACCTCACCAGTCCCATTACCTTATTAAACTTGACTATTGGCACTGATAATGTGAAAGAGTTTTACTCCGCCTGCGCATGGAAAAGTCCCTTAAATGGAATTTACAAGTTAATAATATACTTGTCAAGCAGTCGTGGAACGTTGTCCTTTTGGGAAGACACGCATTGGCCATGTCATGGGAAGTTGTTGTGTTTTCAATTAAAAACAATTAAACGCACAGTACCTAACAAAATTCGTTATATATTTCCAAACAAATACTAATTCATTAAGTGATCTGCGAAATCTTTGGTAGCCCATTAAAGTCACTGACATTTGAGTTTTAGAGAGCGTAGAAAGGTCGCCGAAGAGATTACACCTAAACACGTTTTTGTGGAGTTCGGCGGTCTTCACGCGCTCTAGCTGATTTCAGGTAGCGGAGAGCGCGCCACTAATTGGGATGGGGGGCCGAGCGCCTGAAAATCATTATGGCGGCACAACACAGTATTAGCCCTATGGGGTTTTCTATAGTTAAGGACCCCGAAGTGACTCAGTTCGACTCACTGAAAATCATAGTAGGGTGCACAATCAAGGTTCAGATTTTTGATATGTCTAATTTCAGGGTATAGTGTACAAAATATGTGACAATGAGCTTAAAAAGTATCCAAGCGCAAATCTATGCCGACTAAACACGCACCATAATTCAACTTTTACAGTCTCAAAACTGTCGTATTCCTCTAACATTTACCACAGGTTCTATCTCGATGCCATGCACAGAACAATCTCTGCACCCTTCTCTAGTATTGTGCAGCACTACTTTGTGCCCGGACTACTTTTGACTACGGGGTTTGTCTATAAATACTGTGTTGTGCGGCCTTATACGGATCAGCCGTACGATCGTCGCGCGATCGCAAACTGCGGGCATTCTTGGGATAGTCATGCATGTCCAGCAAAAAGTGTTGTTACAAAAGAAATTACTTTCCAAGCAGAGGTTTGGGTTTTCGGTTACTTTTGGCGTGTTTAGGCTTTTTATCGGGGGTTCTTTTTTTGCACTGGACGTTTTGAGGGTGAAAAAATTCCAGTGCTAAAATAACACGAAAAAAGACTGCAATCACTACAAAAATAACGCCAAATCCTAACCTCTGCTTGTAGAACCACAATAAACCAAACATTATCAGCTTAGATACAGCCCTAACAATGACCTGATGATGTCAAAGTTACCAAAGTACGACATTAACTTTTACACAAGTCAAAGCCAACGCTGTTATCGTGCTGGAATGTACTTTTACAAGCCGACAAATATGATCAACTACACATTATAAAGTTAAATAAAGAACGTTACTCACAATTACATATATCTAAAAGAATGCCTAAGAACACTGGATCAATTTTGTTCAATCTGGAAACTATCAATAAATAAAAAGAAAACTAAAGTAATGTTTTTTTCCAAAAATGGACGGACTAGTAATAGCAAACAACCTCCATATAAAATACAAGGTACAAATATTGACATAACAACATCATACACCTATTTAGGAGTTGACTTCACCCCCTCTGGCTCATTTAATCGCGCCACCAAACAACTAAGGTTAAAAGCTCTCCGAACCTCCTTCAATTTAAAATCAATGCGGCACTCGGGTCCGAAACCCACATACATGTACTTAGAGCTTACCGTATTGGTAATAGATATGACCCCTCCTCTACCCGCCCTGTCCTTGTACGATTTAAAAAATTCAGGGACAAACTAAATATCTTATATCAATCACGCGTATTAAAAGACATGAACGTAACACTCGAACAACCAACGATATCCCATGAAATCCCCGATCTGGAGTTTGTACTATTAAATTACTGCAAAATAGCACTTGGCGTACCTAGAAGCTCCGTTAACGCCGCCGTCAGGGGTAAACTTGGGGTATTCCCACTAAACCTCGATTCACAAACACAATTGATAAAATATTGGCTTCGCCTACACAGTCTACCGAACGACAGGATCGTTAAGAAAGCTTATATAACTTCCGCTGAACTACAACAAGACTGGGCTGTCCATGTTCATGACATGCTTTGTACGCACGGATTCCAAAATGTATGGCTAAATCCCTCCGTTAATACCAACCAGTTGATACATATCTTTAAAGATCGTCTACAAAACACATTTCTCTCTGGCTGGAATCAAGAAATTAAAAGTCTTACCAAACTCAATACCTACTGCAAAATTAAAACCCAATTCGGTTCGGAAAACTATCTTTTATCAATTCAAAACAAATCATTTAGAAACAGCATTACAAATCTTAGGATTACTGCCCACTCTTTGCAAATTGAAAAAGTTCGCCACTGTAACACACCAGCCAATGATAGACTGTGTCCCACGTGCTATAAAGGAGTTGAAAACGAATTACATTTTATAATAGATTGCCAAACCTATGATGAAAACCGACGAAAATTGTTACAATATATTACATGTAAGACCAATATAACACTACCCCATACAAAGACAGAGATATTCTATATGTTACTATCGTGCCCTGTCAACATTTCCACTTATGTAGGCCAATTTGTACACAATTCCATGACAAAACGAGAAAACGTAATAATTCCTGACACAATCTATTACTACATTGTATTAATAGAGTTAGATTAGTATAATTAGTGTCTCTCTTTTGTTATACATTGTTCATGAAGCAGACCATTCCTAGTACAGTTAGTAGAACTGTTAGATATTCTCAACACCACCATATGTGTATGTTAACACCACAAACTATGTAATACTATGTATATTTTGCCATACGTTGTACCCGCTGCATCTGTTGCGCAGTAAAGTTCTTCTTCTATATCTGTTGGCGTCGGACATGATAACGCTAACGACACCCTCATTCTTATCGATGCATGTACTTAAGGGATAATGACCTGCCCCAAGTAATAGGTGTATGTTGTGTGATAAGGCCTGGTCATTTCCTACAACAGAATTGATCGCCAAATGAGCGGAGCAAATGAAGCACTTTATGACCATGACTTTTGACATCATATAACCGAGGAACAGGCATTAACGTTATCAACATATGTAATGTCTAGACGTTTGGTGTTTCCCCTTTACTTTCTCCTGGTCAAGCTCCTGCCCATTTAGATAAGTCAAGGTAATACGTAACCTTGTTTCGATCCTCCGTCAGGGACAACCGGTTTTTCCTAGGCGCTCCACACGCCTATGGCTAAAGGCAAATCCAAATCTTTTTATTCGAGAAAACATATATACATTGTCGGGGGGGGGGGTCTTTCAAACCATACATTTACATCATTGATTATATTCAATCTAAACGATAAAGGTATACAAGGACTATACAAATACAATTTTGACGGTCGACGATATCTATTTAGTGAAAATGGTCCTTGTTGAACGAGCAAAATCTCAATCGTTGCAATTTCAAGGTAATTGATGTCAAAAGTATTTTATTCGTACTTGATTTAAAACCATCTCAACTCCACTTTGTGGCGCCCTCACGGCGCTCTCACGACGCTCAGAAATTGGCCAGAGCGCCGTGAGAGCGCAGAACTTTACGAAAAACGTGCTTAAGTGGAATCTCTACAGCGACCTTTCTGCGCTCTCTTCGCGACCAAAAGCTCAAATGTCAGCAACGTTTATGGGCGACGAAACGAATTCATAGCTCACTAATAAAATCACGGAATTCCGGAAATAGATAACGAAATTTTGTACATTTTGTTTGTTTTATTGTTTTCACAGTTTCTTGTACATCCTGCATCATATTCAAGCTATGGAATCAAGGGTGTAAGAGACAGCGCTCTCACTGCGCTCTCTTTACGACCTAAAAAAATATGGGAGCGTGGAGAGAGTGCCGAGAGAGCGCCGTCTAAGTGGAATGGGGTATATCTAAGTTAATGTTGGGGCAGTTGTGCGCTCTCATAATGGCACTCGCTTCGCGCTCTCACGGCGCTCATTGTTGCATCGCCGCCCTCGGCGCTCTCACGGCGATGGCATGACGCGGTTCATTACCATCGCCGAGGTGACGGCTCTCATGGCGCTGTCACGGCGCTGTCACGGCGCTGTCGTGGCGCTGTCATGGCGCTAACACCGCGCTCTCATGGCGTTCTCATCGCGCTCTCATGGTGACCTTGGCGCTCCCATGCCGCTCTCATGGCGCTCGCTCTCATGGCGCTCTCATGGCGCTCTCATGGCGCTCTCATGGCGCTACACATACGCGGTTTGTCTCGTTGTTAAAGCCTAAGACATTTTTCAGGATTGGTGGCAAGGAGCCCGATGTTATTGCAGAAATAGACATTGTGCGCTCTCGTGGCGGTCGCTTTACGCTCTCACGGCACTCATTGTAACATTACCGTCCTCGGCGCTCTCTAGGCGATGATATGACTCGGCTCGAAACAGTCGCCGAGATGACGGTACTCATGGCGACCTCATCGCGCTCCCATGGCGACCATGGCCCTCCCCGCGCTCTGGCCAATTCCAGG